TATCTTCTTTAACCTTTCCGAAGATACATTCCTTGACAGTGTCTAAAATTTTTGTATAAAAAGATGTTAAATATCACAACAAATAATAGAATGTAAGATCACGACATAACAATCTTTCTATTGAAAATCGCTTCTTCCTACCCCGAGAGCTCTGTTTTTGCATTACTCTTCTTTAACTTTGCTCCATAAATTTGAAGATCTTAATGTTATGTACGTCAAAACATTTAAACGATGACATTTGACTCTGATTTTACAGTTACAGTTGTTCGATCCCACGTTAAGAGTATCAAAAGGCTGATAAAAACAACTCATGCATATCTAAAATATCAGTGATGGGATTATTAAGAAAAACATAAAACAGAGAAAATAATAAAAACTTGTAGAGTGCTAAATTGGAGAAGACTACATATTGCCGAATGATATGAAGATACCAAAACCAAGAGCAATGGCAACAGCATGATAAGACGAGAAAACAACACAAAGAAGAAAAGGGTGCTTACTCCCATGTTTCTAATTACTAGTAATATGTCTCATGATGCATTGAAATTGTTTATGTCATATGGTTTTAGCTATTTATTTGTTTTTAACCTGAGAGATGAAGTAAGATGTATATTACGATAGTAAATAATTATCACCAGACTTCGTTAATATTTGAAATTTGATTACTGTGGAGTTTTTTAGCTAAATAACTGATATTACAACTAGAAAATTTCATTGACAATAACAATTGGCACTAGTTATACAGATCAACAAGAAGTATCAATACCCTTTAATTTTTTCAGAAAATGATATACCCCAGATAGAGGACTTATCAGTGCAGTAGCAGTGAATTACCTCAAAGGCAACAATGGTGAGAAAAAGGCACGAAGATACGCTTCCCATCGCCCCACACGAAAAGGATGGTGAAATGTAAAGAAAGCAAAGTTTGCCGAGGCATTGCAGAAGCTACTTTACTGGCCATGCCACATAATTTTCAGGCAAACTGTTAATTGGTCTCTGGTATTTGGTGAGTGGATATACTCATCATTACCACTATAAAAAAGAGTGTCTCTTTATCTTTCTCAACATTCCTCCTAGTCTTGTTCTGCTTCTTTTTTCACTGCCAAAAACTCCCTCACCCATCTCTTTTTCTCAAACCAAATCATGGGCTCTAGAATTTCTGTCTCCATGAACTCGGTCACGCAAATTTGCATGCAAACTAATGATGATATTCATCAAAGTGAATCTAAATTTAAGGTTTTTGTATGGGCAATTCCCATTAATTGCACAGTCTGTATGAGACTGAAATAAAGTGTATACGAGTTGCTTCTAAAGTGGGGACTCACAGGAGCCAAATTGAATTCAAATCTGATGCCTAAAACACTCAGTTCTTTACTAAATTGTAACTGCAAATTTGTAAAAGAACTAATAAAACCATACTTATGAAGCCAAAAAATAAAAGGAAGAAAAAAAACTTGAATAGCACTAGAACTCCGTATGCATTCTTTCGTGTTTGTTGCTGCTGTTTTGGTTCTTATGGCGTTGTCGTACGTGTGGACCTCAAAGGATATTGTTGTTTAGCGATTCCAGTACTTTACTGTCTGTACTGATATTAAATAACCGATGATGTTTTGCAAGCCTTTATTATTATATGCTAATTATAAAAGTTAATGTGTGTACCATATAAAAAGTACGTTTTTTTAATGTCCTTCACTTCATCATTCCCACAATATTTCTCTAATTTGATTAAGAGGGCACACTCTAAGACCAATTCAATGGTTAGCATAAGCATAGTTAAAATTCTTGGTAATAATATATATCTTCCTTGTCATAGTATACGAGGGATTCTTTGTGAAGTTACATGAAATAGAAGATAAGATAGAAACTAGTGTTCTTATTCTATCTTATTTGTTTTTTTATATATCTTCACATACTTAAATTTTTTCCATTCATTTGATATTATTATTATTTTTAAAGAAATACAAAAATTTTACTTGTGTGTTATGTATGAATGTTTTCTAAAGTGGACCAATTGACCAACCCATATGCTTAGACATTTTTTTACATTAATGGTGCTTTTACGTTTTTTATTTTATTGGATTGCAGCAGCACATGGAGTGGAGTGGCACAGTTTTCCCTCTCCCACTCATAGAATTCATATATCCCATGTTTCATTGGGATACCTTTATGGGACCCATGTTGGGAATGTCCAAAGAATATGAGAAGAGCTTTATATAAATATATTGAAAATATTGTTCGTGAAAAAACAAAACTGAAGGTGAAAAGAGAAAGAATTAAAAGAAAGGTTGTGCAGTTTTGATGAGTTAATATTCCCTTTTGGGTTTTAATGCGAGTATTGAGTAGAAATAATGACCAAAAGCACATAAAAAGAAAAGTTCAGGGTCTTCTACTTCTATATGCAATCATGGATACCCATGTCACATTGGGTCAGATTAGATCTTATGAGATATCATAATGCAACACTTTCTTCAGCAACCATTACATGTTGCAGACAACACACCATTCACCTTAATTGCTTGCTCTGGAATGGTGAAAGTTGCTTTGTTCTTGAATGCAACAACCAGAGGTTTCACAATTTCTATCAAGACAAACATATTTAAATTATGACGTTTTCTAAAATCATTGATAGTAGAAATTCAGTGATCGATGCAGAAGGAATGGAAAATCATTATGTGTGAGATTAACAGATTTATAAATTAAGATGACCCCACCTCATTCCCAGTCCTTTAAACAAATATTGCTCATACCTAAAGTTAAGTTAAATAACCCCTTTTCAAATTGACAGCTAAACTATTATAGTGATAATAATAATAATAATAATAATAAAGAATTTCATTTTATCTACCTTCAGGATAACTTTTTACGTTAATAATTTATTTAATAAGCAATGAAAATATGAAAACCTTGTCGTGAATGGCTGTCCAATAATAACAAAAGTTTTTGTATTTTCTTATAGTTCTCAACTTGAAAGACTTCTTTCGAAAAAAATTTAGAAGAAAAAGAATAATAAAATATTTTTTATAAGTTGTTCTTTTACATCATTTAGAATTATCTTATATATTATTCGTAATATTTTTTTACATAAATTTTCTAAATTCTTACTTTTAACTTCTAAATATATTAATTTTATTTTATGAAAAAACTTCTTTTAAGCTATTTAGAAAAAAATTGTCCAAATAAATTCATCACTGATATAGGGATATTAATGGAATTTTGTTCTGTTAACATAGTTATATTTTTTTGACTTAATAACAAAAAAAGATCGGATGTGTCGAATTTATAAAAAAAAAAATTCATCCAAATAAATTTGAATTAGTGCACTTTATACGATTAATTATAATATTTTTGTAAACAAGTGCTAAATATTTGTAGTTATTTCAAGGATATATTAAATATAAGTTCCACCCTGTGTCAGCGTATTAAAATAACAGGGATTTGATCCGTTATAAGCTTGATTGTAAAATGTACTTTTAAGTAAATTATGTTAAAAATAAATTTATCTTATATAAATAATTTACAAATAAATTTTAAAATATCTTTCAAAACTATTTTTATTCTTGTCTTATGTCTTAAATAACAGTCGTTTTAATTATTATACTTTTATTTATTTTATAGTTTATAGAGTTTTTCTTTCCCTCAAGGTTTGGGATTAACATATTTGAGGTTTTTTTATGTTATTCTCAACTATTTTTTCTTAATGAAAAAATAGATTTTTAATCAAGCTAATATGCAACGTTAGACTTTTTAAAGCCTAGAAATATATATATATATAAACATTCTTAAAGAAAAACAAATAAAAACGTAGATTTCAGTTTTAACTTTTTTTTAATAAATCGATATTATTTAAAATATTTAAAAACTCTCGTATGAACTGGTCTATTTCCATTTCTTAAAACTACAAAATATGAAAATTAAGAAAATGATAAACTTAACATGATAAAATAGAAAAAATATTGCATTCCATTATTTTATATATGGTCAACCAAACAAGTTCTGAAGTGCATATATAAATCATCACCCGATTCTTTGTGTGAATATATAAAATTAGAAACAAAAATTTGTATACTGGTATTTTCACACCACAATTTTTACTATAATTTTGATACTATCATTCACTACTCACTCCTTTTTTTTTAAAAAAATATAAAATTTTATTTTTTTAAAACCATTTATGTCAAATAAACTTTTTCCTTTTATCTCATTTTATTATCATTTAAGGTAACGTATGTATTAAAAATTTAATTAAATCAAATTTTAAAATATAATAAGGTCGATGATAAAGATTACTTCAATAAATATGTCCCACTTTCTTCAATAAAATAGTATAATCTAACTCAAATAACTTTATTTCATATATGTATAACTGTACTATTAACAATATATTTTCTCGTACATTTATTTCTCGACAGTGTTATTGAGAAAAGAGAGCAAGTGATACTTTCTTATGTTCAAAAGTGACTTAACTAATTTGAGACAAACTAACATTAAATAAGGACAAATAAGATGTGATAGAAGGAGTAATTCGTAACAGCCCAATTATTATTAACTACAAATACGGAACAAAACAATAAATTAATAGTTAAATTTGAGCTTACTTAGGAAATATTAAGTTATCGAAAAATTAAAAAGTAGCGTAAGGCAGTTAATTAAAAGATAAAATTAGCCACTAAGAAGATGAGGGGTTTAAAAAAATATGCATGTGTTAGATTCCTACATAAATGAGATCATTGTTTAAAAAGGTAAAGAAAGTGTTGAAAGTCTCACATCGACCACTGATAAGGCCAAATTATAATATATAATTGAGGCGCAAACCTCACCTTACAAACCGGTTGTGTGGGTTGAGTTAGGCTTAAAGTACACTTCTAATATGACATCACATCAGAGTTATGGTTAAAGCCTATCCTAACAAGTTTTAAGTAGACATTTCTGTTTCTATTCCACCCATTTAAGCCTAACTCAACTCTAAGAGTTCATAATAACTAGCATTGTCAAATTTGTTACATAAAAATTTCATCACCTATTTAATCAGATTGTTATTTGTATGTTTTGAATAAATAAATGAGATAAATTTTGTGTCATTTTGTAGAGTATTACCATCAGCATTTTGAAAAATGAATTGAAAGAAGGTATAGAAAAGAGTAGAGAAATATGGTGAATTACGTACATAAGATGAAAAACAAGAGTAAAAGAGAAAAAGGAAAGTGAAGAAGGGACAGGGAGCGTAGAATAAAGCAAAAGGGAATGTCTTTCTCAAGCACGGATCCCAATAGAAGGCGGGAAGTATACCTAGCAATGCTTGCTGGAACACATTCTTTTTGTTTAGTTTAAAGCATTTTGCTTTGTTCCATACACATATCTGTCCATTCACACCCTCGTTTATACACGCACAAAAACTCATTTATTTTTACACACTCGGATAGAATTTAGATTTCGCCTATTCAGTTCTGCAACCATCAAAACATAGGTGTATATTTAACAAAGCAAATATCGGTTTCAAGGGGGAGGAAATCATAAGTTAGATATATATAAATATGTGTGTGAATCGTGACATAGTAGTTTATCTGTTTTCCAATGATTGAGTTGTCTTGCCTTAAATCTGCCTACAGTTTCTGTTAGCCAGTGAAGTTAAGTACTCTACTGATACTCAATCAATCTACAAGATCATGAAGCCTGTAGAAAATGGTGAAACCGTTGACATAAACTATCAAAATAGCTGGTTAGGTTTCTCCCTCTCCCCGCAAATGAATATAACTGTTCCTTCACACTCTCATCAAACACACCCTTCATCTGCTGCTGCTGCTGAAACAGTTCCACCAACGTATTACCACCACACACCTCTTCATAACTATGGAATCCTAGGTGAACATGTTGGAATGTTTTCTTCCTTGCCTATCGTGCCCCTTAAA